TCTTGGTCGTCCCCTGGGCCTTTTGCCGGTCGGATTTGTAAGGAACAGTTGCTTAGCCTTCCTTTCTGGAACATCAATTCTACTTTTCAAAATAGAAACGCATCTTCAAAGAGAGAACTTACACCCACTAAAATTACCTTTGAGAATAACAATGCGAGATGACAAATTATCAAAAGACACCATGCCGAAATACTTCAAATAAAAACAGAATAGACACATTATGAAGACATAACAAAGGCATTGTTGCGGGATTCATTCATGGATGAAGAGGCAGCCGCGTTCAGACGCATCTTCAATTAAGTTTAATATCATAACGTTGGAGACATATCTGTATGAAATTACAAATACTGAGAGTTCAAATATCTACTAAAATAAGACAGTCTCGCTTAACTTCATAACAGAATCATGTACATAAATCATCCAATAACATTACAAATAAAACAAATCAAACTATGATTAACATCCTAGATGATGGTTAAATGAAGTTACATTTTTAATACTCAGATCTTCTGGAGTCTCCAAAAATATGATACGTACAGTAATGAATAATCAAAAAACGAGAATTATAAAGTTTCTGGATAACATATCTTGATGTAACTACATCTGCTGGGAAATAAAGTTGACATATCTGCAACGGCTCTAACATGAACCAACTTTAATACTTTAATACGTTCCCTCACTCTTAAAAGGCTTTTACATTCAATGTGGCCAGATAGATCAATAGTGCGGCTCTGTTCTAAGAAAGAACTGAGAATGCTGTGTGAACATGACAATGTCAACGCACATCAAGTAATACAGTGTGCAATTGATTTTAAAGGAGATTTACTAAATCAATCGTGCCAAATACTCGAAATCAAACCTCCTAGTGCTTCGTGCTTCTATGCTGACAGGGTCTACATGCTCATGATCCATGCAGTCACAGATATATATTTTGGTCGTACAAAGCATTGGTACTAATCAAATATTAGATCGACGTTGTCTGTAGCGTCAAGTGACTGTGTCGCGATTTCGATACGTCTGGGATGGCGATGAGAAAACAACAGTGACATCCTATTGGAAATGTGCATAAATACAGAGGATTTGCATTCGGAGAGATGTATTGTCAAGTCAAGAAAAAATCACGGAATTTGTTATTCGTAGTGAAGTTGTGCTTTGCTATGACTGAATCACTGTCATTTGTCAGATGTGAGAATCATAAATTCCTATTTTTTGAATATATTACTATATAGTTACAATTTTCCTTATACGATTTTTTTCAACAGAACTGCTGCATCAGCTTCGTGAATCATGTGATGCAGTCTTTGCGCGATTCATTCCTTAGTAACTTCTTTTATGTTCTCCAATATATGCTACTTTAAGATGTCGCGGCATCACGACGCTAGTCTTGAAAACTTAGTTTTATCCATCGGTCAAACAAAAATTCGTGCTCTTGGTTATGCGAGAAAAGCCCATATTTGTCCAAAGTAGATGATCTGATGGACAAAATAGGAACGGCTTAAGGTAAGATTGATTTAAATGGAAGGGTTTTAAGATGGTGGAACAATACTAGCCGTATGCACTTTACGCTTTATAGTAAATCTTGACCACCAACGCTAGAAAGACCCTCACCTGATCTCATTGAAATTCGGTAAACTACCAATGCCGCAACTAGTATGATAGATGAACCGGTAAAGTTTCGACTGCAAAGTACAGGTGGTACGACCTTTGACTTCTGTCAACGATTGCTACGGAACAGTCACGTGTTCTTTTATGGTAACTATTCAGTTTTCTCTGATTGATTATGCAGCGGAGAGCTCATGCGACTGCTGTTATTCGCTTGACATCATTGTAGTGAGGTTCTTTGACTTCAGCCTGTTTTGTGTTAGATGCTGTCCATTTAAAAACTGTTAGTTCATTATCGGTGTTTTTTTCCACCTTTATGATCAAAACCGTGGCCAGTATTCTTACTCATGATTGCTACCCTCTCAATTACTGGTTATGCGGCAGCCTTTCTCCTCATAGATCAGTAGTTCGGCAAACCAGGTAAGTAGCGTGCAGTAGCCTGTGTTCTTTTGCTTAAGGAATGAAAGCGTAAAGGTGGATAATGTCGTTTAGTTAGAAATGTTTGAACTTGTACTCGCGTAAGTAAATAGACATTATTTCAATGCTTGCAGCACCAAGTTTTATGTGAAGCTTTTCATGAAAATTAAGCAGTAGCAAGAAAGCGGTAATAAATGAGTTATACAGCGACTCAGAAACAATCATTCACGAAATAACGCGTCAATTACTTTACAGTTACACATTGACAGAGTCATATTGCATAATTGGCGCATCTGTCTTTTATATATGCGGATCAAAGGTAATTTGTCTCATTTACTAGGAAATCTGCCTCTTAATACACAGTTGAAATTTCGTGCTTCATTTTATCCACCACTTTAGTGCCCAATACGGTTGGCACAACGAGCAACAAGAAGCTGCGAAGATGCTATTTACTATGAAACTGGTTCGTACTTTTAGTCAGTTTTTTGTTTATTTATTAATTTATCTGCATACTCATCCCTCTGCTTTTTAGATCGTTTGGCAATCTTTATGAAAAAGGTTATTTTTAGTTTTCAAAGTTATTCCGCAGCATTCACTTTAATATTAGTGTTTTTCAATGTAAGTGCACGCGCATAACGTGTCTTAATTATCCGAAATACAGTCTCTTGTTCTGTTCGAAGGTCGTCGCAGACCCTATGGTGAATTAATCTCTGGAATACAGAGATACACCGATATGATAAAAATTGTTCTAGATTATTACTGTATAAAATTTATGAAGATGCAGTCCACGCTTTGTACTTATGCCACAGCCTTATTTAAAGAATATTGCAGGCAAAATTTTAGACTGAATAACAAGGCATGTATTGAGGTGCGCTACATGATATTCTGGTTACATCGATGCGATGTGTTACGCTTGAGTAAATGAAGTTGATTGACGTATGTTCGGATATTCTTTGTATTGCTAATTGTTTTTATTTTTAGTTTTAAGCTTATTTTGTTTTGCTGTCAGCGCGTTTAACCTTCTTGGTTTCTAGATTTTGTATTGAAATGCTGAAAATGGATGAAACTGAAGAAGAGTCAAAAAAGTTTCATCAGTTTGGTTTAGACATCCGTTTGATTCGTGTATGATTTTAATTATTGGATGTTACCTCTTTTCTGAAAGCTTCTTTCATATTCAGGCGATTGAAGAACTTGGGTGGAAGTCTCCTACGTTGATTCAAGAGAAGGCGATTCCTTTGGCTCTTCAAGGAAAAGATATTCTTGCCAGGGCGAGAACCGGATCCGGAAAGACCGCTTCCTTCGCAGTCCCGATCATACAAAAGATTCTTCAAGCTAAACAGGTCAAATTTAATCACAAAGTTGCAATGCTAGTTAATTCAACATGTTTATTATTTACTATATGATACAGTCTTATGCTTCCTTTTATAATTTTTTCATTAGTACATTTTTATGGGCCGAGATGAAAATCAGCTGAACCAGGACCGAGGCATTCGTACTCTTGAGAAAGCCATTCAGTGTATTCTGAGAATGTATGGAATGCAGCTGGAACAGTGAGAAAAATTTAACTGTCTCGTGGTTGAATTCTCGCATGATGACAGTTTGGACTTGCACACCCGTATTGGGACTTCAATCAGTCAATCAAAATTCGTGCTTATGCGATGAACGTTTGTCACTTGCGGGCGCGTATCACTCAAGCACAGGCTGTAATGCGGGAGTTGAACCGGTCTGTGGTGATAATGTCTGTTATCAATTGAGGTGTCTGTCTTTAAATCTGTATTCGCATTTATTCTCGGTTATGATCATAAGAGTTGGATATTGACCGAGTAATGCGACTCACGATGGATGCAAGCGGGTACAGAAATTAGGTGTCTTCAAAACGACTGCTGGTATGGCCAGACTCTTGAAAGTCCGGAACACTGCAGTTCGATATAGTCTCGGTTGTGTGAGTCTCTCTTTGTTAATTTGGAGAGATCACAGCTGCGATGTTTTGACACTGTTACGATGATGTTATCAGAAAAACTGGCAGAACGGACTCTCTTGGCAAAGACAGTGGAACAGATGCCACGGGTGTGCAGAATACCTGAGTCATGACCACCTGAAGCAGCAGGTTCACAGACCTTAAAATTTTGTGCGAGGGAGGGAGGACAGCTGATAGT